GACCCGACTCAACCCAACCCGAAATAATAAACAAATTATTTTTATTTAATAAAAACAATGATTTAATTGAAAAAAAATACTATATAGAGGGGTATTATTGTAATTATTCATAAATATATAAGGTAAAATTATATTTTTTCGGGTCATGTCGGGTATTTTTCACCCTAAAACTTACCCGAACACCACCTTTAAAAAGACCTAACCCGAACTCGATTTTTTTAAAAACCCGACTCGACCGGGTCGGGTCTGGTTCAAGTCCCATGCCCATTCTTATATAAATTCCATGTTTCTTTTTCATTCTATATATATATATATATATATATATATATATATATATATATATATATATATATATGCCGCTTGTTCTCTCTATCATTTTTGAGTTTATTGAGTTGAGAATTATTTTTATTTTTAAGTCTTGTTTTATAACAAAATAACTTGTTGAATCTTAAACATATTTTATACGATAAAATATAAATAAAAAATGAGAACGAATGCATGTATTAAACTAGGTTGGTTTTGGATCTTATTTGGTTCAACCCAATAATTTCCTTAGAAGAATAAACCTCATCGGAACTACAAGTTCTAAATGCAACTCTAACATCATCTTAGTCTCTCATGGCATATGAAACTACATTTCCTTTTGCATAAACAATGATAATTGTTAAAATTAGGTGGGACGATAAACTTTTTTAAAATATGGATTAGTATGGGTGAGAGAAGGGGGTGTTGTGTCTATTTGTAAGGGTTTTGCAGTAATTTAGTGGGCCTTTATGTTTATGGATTAGTATTGTTTACATAAACTCATTTTTGTTTTTTTTTCTCAATATCAATGTTAGTTATTTTGTCAATTTATAAAAAAATTAAAAACAATAAAATATAAAAATATTTAATTATTAATAATGGAAAATTATAAATCAAAATAAAAAATTTGAAAAAATATAAATACAATATATTAGTTTTCTTTAATTAAGTTGATTTAATAAAAATAAAACGTTAAAAGAATAAAAGAGGTAAAAATATAATTTAAAGGTTAAAATTATTTTTTAATAAAAATTAAAGATAAAAATTTCATCAAAATCTTTTTAAAAAAATGTCTAATCAATTATAACTTGTCTAAGAAGTATAAATACATCATGCATCTAAATTTTAAAAATATATTATAATCTATGATAATTAAATTAATACCAAATCGGTAGAGATAAATATTAGGTTTATTGAGTTTGCAAATGTAGTCAATTTGAATCCAAATACAAAGAAAATTTATGGGTGTAATATGTTATTAATGATGTTTTGCTTTGGTGAATTGTTAATTAGGCAACGTCGGTGTGTATAGAAAGTTAATAGCGAAATTACAATTTATTGATGCATTCTTTGAATTATGGGTAAAAGATGTAAAGAAAATCAATACTTTGATTTATAGATTTACTTTCATAATAGGATTGGCTTTCTTTTAATATTTGTGGGATGTTAGTTTCTTTTTACGGTCTAATACATGATATATATATATTGAGTAGAGAGATATTATATTTTCAAGATAGATGTCAATATTTAAATTTATATAAGATAAAATAATTTGATCACTCGATCAATTAATGGATCTCTAATTTTCTCTTTGAAATATATCAATTTTCTCGCTTTATCTCTTAGAAATATGCAAAATTAGGAGTGTATATGAACAAAGCGTTCGATGAACTATTCATATAACATTCGTTTATGTTTGTTCTTTAAGCTAAATAAACGAGTGTGAATAATTTTTTTATGTTCATTCGTATAACAAAGGTGTGTTAAATTCATTCATGTTCACGAACAAACTCATTTATGAGCTTGTTTATCAATTCGTCCATTTATTTCATGAACAAGCTCGTTTACCCGGTTGTCATTTTCCTTTTATTTATTTTTTTACATTTTAAATATTGGGGAAGGTAGAGACTATATTGAACAAATGATAAAAGTTGAAATCTATATTGTAGATTCTAAGGAGTTTAAGCACTAGTTGTGTAATTATTTTAAAAATCTCTATCTTCAACTTGCACAGAGAGCTGGAATAGCTCAGTTGGTTAGAGCGTGTGGCTGTTAACCACAAGGTCGGTTCTAGCGTTTGGTTCAATTTGTTTTTATTGTTTCCCTTCACACAACTCCACAGCCCAACCCAATATCCAACGTATGGGTTAAGCCGAATGGTGTTCCAGATTTCTAAATAATTTAGGTTGAAGTCTATTACAAGTCCTTGTATAATATTTAAAATTTTGCATGAATTAAATTATTTTTTTCAAGAGGGTCCAATTTGTTCAATTTCAAAACTGACAACGTCTTAAAATATGTTTAAATAAAAATATTTAAGTCAATCCACAATAACATTAATATTTTGGACAGAAGAATTTATATTTTTTTAAATGTATAGGGATTAAAATAAACTTTTTATCTAATATAGAGACTTGTATTGAATTTTAACCAAATAATTTATAATATGAGTACAAATATTATAGATAAAACAATAGTAAATGATATATAACATAAAATAATTTTTTTTTAAAAATAAAAAATATTTTTTTATAAAAATATAAATATTCTTTTTGATTAAGAAATAATTGATAATGAAATGTAATAGTAAAATTTTCAAATGTAAAGTAAATAATAAAATACGGTTTCCTTGTTTTAGGGATGGTTTAGGCTCCAATCTAGAAATCAGGCACCCCGTTGGATTGTTGGGTTGGGCTGTGGAGTTGTGTGAAAAAACAATAAAATAGAAAAAAAAAATACGCTAGAAGGAGGGCTTGAACCTCCGACCTTGTGGTTAACAGCCACACGCTCTAACCAACTGAGCTATTCCAGCCATATTTTCAGTCAAGATTTAAATATATATAGTTTCATAAAAATAACCTGGTAAGGTCGTCCATTTTTTAGGAAAGCCATCATCTTTCTCAAGTTGTGTATGACTCACCATCATTTTTTTAGTTCTGAAAAATCATACAATTTGTCCATTACTATTGCGAATTATTTCCATATATGAAATATTTTAAATTTGTTTTTAATAATTTATTTTAAGATAAACTACATCAATAATGTCCAAATCATTTTTTATTTAGGCCATCCAGTCATTGTTTAACAAAATTGTCACTCTTCTATTCTAATTACCCGTCGTTAAAAAGTTAGCGATAACATAATTTTTTTTTATATTTCTATATCGTTTTCTCTTTTCGTGTTAGTAAAATAAGTATTAATTTTTTATAATTTTATTCGACCAATTGAATGGTGAATCAAATTTGAAACCCCTGAGTTCTAGCATTTAATCGTCAAATTAGACAAGAAACTTATTATAATTTCATCAAATCTTATATTTAAATTGCTCTAATAAAATCAAGGAAAATATTAGTTTTTTTTTTCTCTTATTCCCTTATTGTCAATACAAGTTTGAGTTCAGCCTTTTGATAGAGTGAGGGTATAAACATCAATGTGTTTTACTTTCAATCCTATCACATACAAACTCTCAAAATTATCTATATAGTTCACATTGATGTTAAACTGAAATTAAGAGGGTGTCCTAAGGTCGCTGTCTCCTTTGCTTTTACTGCAGAGTGGGGTTTATTATAGATTGTTTGCTTGCTTTCTTCTAATAATGGGAGGGTGATGTTTACTGTCGGGTTGTTGGGGTTCTGTTAATTGTATTTGTTTATACAGAGATGGTTGTTTTGAATGAATAATACGTCCTTTTTTCTACAAAAAATAAAATAAAATGATAGAGCCAGATAAAAATGAGCCCAAGGTGACAACTAGAATAATTGCGACTAAAATTTTCAAATATTTTATTGATAATTTGTTTTTGTCTCTTATAATTTTAAAAACTTGTCTCCTTAAAATTTTAAAAGTTTACCCTTTTATCATAAGATCTTCTGTCCATCCGTGAAGCCCGACACGACCAGCATTATGTAAACATATGATGAAAATAGTGAAAAGTAACAATACAATAAACAACAATCTAGATTACACATAAGCTGAAATTATACAAAAACAAAAGAGTATGAATGCGCACAAGAAAGATGTAGTTGTAACAAGAAATGCTACAGTTTATAAATGTTTAATCCAAAATACCTGCATATGGCTTATCTTCTCCAACAAATGGCACATCAAATAGCCTGTTTGAAGATTCATTTTCGGCTAAATCTGGTAAGCTGGAAATTTCATTTTCATTTGTCCTATTTAGTTAGAGATGCATCAGCGTGGACAACATGTTCAAATTCATTTAAGGAGACAACATTCTTATATGAAACTCCAGTGTTATCTGAGTTGGTAGTTTCATTGTTGCGGTCGTTGTTAATTACTGCATCTGCACTGTTGTGTAATTCACTATAATCAATTCGTGAAACCTCATTCTTTTGTCCTGTTTGTTAGTGTTATGAGTATGGTAGTCACCAAGTGCAGTTAGGCTGCTGTGTGCTACACTGGTATAGTTAGTTAGAGAATTAGTAATCAGTTGAGATTGTTAGGAGACTGTTAGAGATCTCAACACACTCAGTTAAAAGGACATGATTATTTGGCTTTTCCAGCTTTCTGTTACTTCTATCATCCCTCCACTATCAAAGAAGGTACAAATATATACACAACCACTGTTTAAGAGTGAACCTAACTCTACGCCATTACCGGCCGAACTACCATCAATTTAACCACATCTGATGTTCCTTTTCAGTTCTACTCGACTAATGCTAGATTACGACATGCTTGGGCAATATTGAACATAATCAAAATAATAATTTTCAATTATTTTGAAATTTTTACAATAAGAATTAATTACCAATGTACAAAAAATCTTAAATTCAATTACAATAACATACAAAAACAAACCAATAACCAGATTCGATTATCAGAACATGTCTGAACATTTAAACATTTTTACCTCTTCAAAATCCAACTGTTTTAACATTATATCCAATTGGCCACTTACACCATCCAAGTAACAGTTCATATAACAATAACTCAATGCAAAGCATAGCTAATCAGAATATTTCCAATAAAAAAATTACATTATTGCAAATAAAAGTCATTCATATAGGCTAAAACAGTATAAGTTTGACAAATCCACAAGATCTTTTATTGTCTTTAAAAACACGCCTTAACTAAATGTAAAACCAACACAAACTTGCATTACAGTCGGCACATGAAAAGGGGTCCATTTATTATTGGTTGAATATTACTTAATTTTTCACCCTTTGTTTTTAGTTTCAGCATGAACCAAGTGAAGCCTCACTTTGGGTCGGTGAAGAAGCTGTTGATTGCGGGCATGATTTCAGGTGCCTTGTTGCGGACGTATTTCCTTAAGAAATGTTCAGTATATTTTTCTCCCTCAGCAAAGTTCTCCAAAACCCCAGCAGCCCTGTTCTCCTTGGTTACCCTGAAAAAGAACATATTTTCAACTCTTCAATTGATTCTTACAATCTTCATTAAGTACCAAATAAGACTTGATGATTTGTCTATGTAACTTTCTGTTATTTATTCAATTATTAAAAAAATAAAAGGGCAAACAACATCTATTTTTCTACTCATTTGGGTTGACCCAGACATGGAACAGTAGCAAGGGCGACCTGGACGTGCACTATATTAGTTTATGGCTCGGATTTGCCTGCTAACTTGCAAATTCCAGATAACCAGATTGACCAGTTGAATGTTACATATTTTTCCAGCATTTCAAAATTTTTATTAGTATTCTTGAGAACACGAATTCGAATATTTAGATTTGGATTTCATATGTTACAAGTATCAGAACGGAATGCATAATATTGTTTATAAATTAATTGAGACTCCATGAAATTATATAATTCGAAGGCATAAAAACATAAATCTCAAATTCACGACTAGATAAGTATCTAACAAATATTCATATATATAAAAAGAATGACAAATATATAGTTCTGAAAAATAAAAGCAAATCCCTATAAAAATTAAAAAGAGAAGGCTAGCATATATATATATATATATATATAATCATAAATATTTCAAAATATGAAGAGAAAGAGGGAGAGAGACCTGACTTCAGGGTTGATGCAGATATTACGCACCAACTGAAAACCGCAGATCCCCACAGCAACACCAACGGCCGCGAACAGCGGATACACCTGCAAAGAACCCCCAAACCACCGTTTATTTAGCCTTTTCTTCTCGTTAATTCATCAGATCTGGAAATTTACTACAATCTAAAAAAAGAAAAAGGAGAAAAATAGCGACTGATATCAACGCTATGGATTTGAGCTTACCTCAGGCCTCAACCATCGGTTCGCCATTGAGCGCACAGCAGGTAGCAAAATCAAAGCGATGGATAAGCCGAAGAGAAGACTGAGGGAGAGAAAGCGCTATGGAATGGAAGGAAAATGAGAAGAATTGACCTTTTTTTTAAAAAAAAAATTCTATGGAAAGGCTCCATGAAACCTGAGCAGTTGGATAAGGCCCATGAAATCTAAGCAATTGGATAAAGTATAGGTTTTAAATTTTTGATCTGAACCATAAAAAATGGAGATAGCCCAGTAGTTTTCTTTGATAAAGTAACATTCTTCGGATAAAATAAAAAATAACATTTATTTATTAAATTTGACATTTCTAATTTTTTTTATTTATATTAACTCTTCAATTTCAAATTTATATAATATAATTTCATAACGTCGCAGACTGAAAAACTAAAAGAAATTATCAAATTTAATGACTAATTGAAATAAATAAATAAAAAATCTAACCATTGTAGGCTTGGGACATTCTTGATTCTTGAAGCCTAGACGGAGATGATAAAATAAATATCATTCTGTTTTTTTCTTTCTTTCTAATTACAATTGTATATTGAAAGATTCTTTGTATTTGTATAATTTTTTATACTAAAAAATTTGGGAAGATAGATGAATATCTGACTACTAATTTATAACTGGATTTTATATTTGTATACAATTTGATATTTAAATAATTTGTGATGAGTGAAATTGTTTTTAATTAAAAGAATCACTTATATAAAGTTTATTGACAGTTTTCTTAGCTGTATAAAACTGTAAATAATGTATTTATAAATTTGATTAGTTTCTTAAACACTGGGTTATTAAACTATATTACTAATATAATATATTTAAAATAATATAGAAAATTAATTCTCAAATTGATATCTATTTCCAACACATAAGATGAATGTGTCCCTACGTGCAACATCTTTTGAAATATTCTTTTTCTTAAAAATATCTTTATTTACATGATAGGTCATCTAGGTTGTATCTCCAATACTATCGTCATTTAAGTAAAATATCTTCCTTAATGAAGAACCTTTCAGGAGACGTTATCATATAGGCATGTCTTCATCTTATAACACAAAAGTAAATGTTATTTTCAAAAATAAATTTTAAAATATTATTTTAATAAGAAATAAAAAATAATTTAATAATTTAACTGGATTGTTTTATGAAAAAATAACTTCAGTGACAAAAAATGTCTTATAATATACGATTTTAACCAACTTTTTTTGGATTTGCCAAAATGACCAACTAAATCGCAATGCGATCGATAATTAGCAACGTGATCTCCGATATCGCAAATCAGTTTCCAGATTCGCAACGCGAACTTCGACTATCGCATTGCGATTTACATATTCGCATTGAGATAGTCGAAGTTCGCGTTGCGATTTTCCAAATTCGTTACGATAGTCGAAGTTCGCTTTGCGATTTATTCTAAATTCGTTGCGATAGTCCAAGTTCGCGTTGCGCGATTTATTCCAAATTCGTTGCGATAGTCGAAGTTCGCGTTGCGATTTATTCCAAATTCGTTGCGATAGTCCAAAATCGCAACGACTGATGGTATTGCATTTGTTTCTTAAGAATTTTCTCTAAAAATATAGTATTCGCGCGGACGTGTCGAAGACACGTATTACCACGACCATGACCCGAGACGACCACGACCACGACCCGAGACGACCACGACCCGAGACGAGACGAGACGACGGCGGCGGCGACGCGCGAGAGTTCCCCTTGTTCTCTATCACTCAACAAGGAAGTGAGAAAACCAAACCTTAAATACCATTCCCAATAGTGTTTCCAATACTATGTGAGATTGAGCATTACCAATACTTGTTCTCAATACTATATGGGATTGAGCCTTAAACAGTGATATTATTTTTGAATGTTTTGCTTAAAATTGCAATAATCGCGATTGATTGTAGATTGACTTTTAATTATGACATATTTAATCGTATAATACTAATGCAATTGGTTACTGATTCAGTTGTTTTAAGGTGCATGATTGTTAATTGTTTCCTGAATAATCACATTATATTGGAAACAAGTGTTGGTAATGCTCAATCCCACATAGTATTGGAAACACTATTGAGAATTGTATTTAAGGCTTGGCTTTCTCACTTCCTTGTTGAGTGATAGAGAACAAAGGGGACTCTCGCGCGCCGCCGCCGCCGCCATCCGTCTCGTCTCGTCTCGTGGTCGTGGTCGTGGTCGTGGTCGTGGTAATACTTGTCTTCGACACGTCCGAATACTATCTTTTTAGAGAAAATTCTTAAGAAACAAATGCAATACCACCAGTCGTTGCGATTTTGGACTATCGCAATGAATTTGGAATAAATCGCAACGCGAACTTGGACTATCGCAACGAATTTTGAATAAATCGCAACGCGAACTTCGACTATCGTAACGAATTTGGAAAATCGCAACACGAACTTCGACTATCGCAACGAATTTAGAAAATCGCAATGCGAACTTCGACTATCGCAACGAATTTGAAAAATCGCAACGCGAACTTGGACAATCGCAATGCGAATATGTAAATCGCATTGCGATAGTCCAAGTTCGCGTTGCGAATCTGGAAACTGATTTGCGATACCGGAGATCGCGTTGCGAATTATCGATCGCATTGCGATTTAGTTGGTCATTTTGACAAATCTAAAAAAAAATAATTAAAATCATATATTATAAGATATTTTTGGTCACTAAAATTATTTTTCTCTTGTTTTATATGATTTTTGACGTAATGGGATAGGTGCTGAATTTCTAGGGAGTTTCGCCGCTCCTTTTCTGTCGTCATTATTTGTTGGCTTTTCAGACGTAGATATGGGCCACCGTATCTGCGTATGGCTATTTTCTAAAACATTCACTTTTTTAATTTCAGTAAACAGAAACGATAATTCTTTTAAAATATTTATTTGGTTCGAGTTTTTAGGAACTCGGCGTTCCTCTTTTATCTTGAGTTTATTTGCGTTAAATTACTTTGATTTTTATTATTTTATGATTAAGTCCTTGTTTCGTATTTCTTAACAATATTTTACTTGTGTTTTTAATTCGATCTTTTAATAATATATATACTTTTTGTAACATAGGTGAGGCAAAAGAAGAAGAAAAACTGAATTCTCACTACCCATTGTCCACAAACATCAACCTGTAAAAGGAGTAGGAGACTCTAAATTTGTAAAATGGTTCGCACACTCAGGGATGGAGTCAAGATTGAACTACGTGATGGGTAAATTATTTAACTTTGAAATAAATAGGAACTCTAAAATTGAACAAACCATAAAAATTAAAGGAGATATGATATAATTTCACTAATTTTAGGATGGAAGGATCTTAAAGAGTAATTAAACCAAAAAATTAGAAGTTAAAATTTCCTTTTTAAAACCAAGGTCCTAAAATATAGTTAAACCAATAAAAACAGTCTAACTCTTCGGTGCGTATCTCTACCACATTAAGGGTCTTTTTTATGAATCCCTCAAATCAAACCATCTTTCTTTCTAATAAAAACACGACGTCCCTCAAATTCGCCCTCTTGTGTTTCTCAAGACAAGTCTCCATCCTTCCATGGGGAATATTTCTTTCTTAGAGTGACATCTCATATCAACATCTTACTCATAACTTTTAGTTCATATATCAACTATTACAGATTAGAATTTAACCTCAAGATTGACAAGATCTTATACGATGAAGCTCGACTCAAACATCTAATTCAACCTATAAAACAAGATTGAAAATTGAAATATTCTCAAAGGCATTAAAAAGATAAAAAGCTTAAAAAGAGAGGAAGCAAAAATTCAAGAGAAAGACAAAGATAACTAGAGAAAGGATAACAAGAGAACTTTTAGAGGAAAAACATTGATTTATCAAGGAATTGATGAGGCATACGAGACAGAAAAACTCTATCTATAATTGAGATTTCTTACATCTAAAGGTTCATATTGAATTACATCAACAACCTAGATTAAAGATTATTTACAAGATATAATTTTAAGGAATCTCAAACTTTACATTATCTCTTATTCTTGTAGTCTAAATAATATTGGTAACTACAAAGTTACTGAGTCATTTACTAAGTCGATCAAGACTCTTTTAGACGAATCTTTTAATATTCTTCATGAATCGAATTAAATCTAATGATATAACAACTAAAAATGGGGATAAAGATTCGATCATTATTGGATCAATACACATAAGTAAATTTAAAAATATCCTTAATAATTTTTAGGATCTCGTAACGGTGAAGACAATAGTAAGATTTCCTTAATTACGTTGAATCAACAACCTTTTGTGTTGTCTCTGAACTCTGATTAATCTTTGAACTCCAAAGGTGCTACCTTTTCGAAACATGACCACAAATATAACTTAATTAGAATTAACGTAAATATCATTTATTTAAAACTTCTTTTAAAATAAATAATAATTTAAATTAGAATGAACTTAATTATCGTTTATTTAAAACTCTTTTAAAATAAATAATAATTTAAATCATATTCCTTATCTCATAAGTAATTTAAATTCAATTAAATCATAATTAAAGAATTATATAATATCATTTTCTATTCAATATTATTTCAGAATTAAATAAGGAAATAATAATAGATCTATAAGATATTCCATCATAAAATTTGTTCTATCAAACTTCATACTAATCGTATTCTATTATTATTCCTACAATAATAATCGATTAGAGATATCTAGAATAATTAATAATAATATTCAATAATATTAATATACAAAAGGATGCAAATTATGATAATAATAATTCAATAATTAAAATAGCATGTCCATATAATAGACCTATAACATTATTACTAGCAGTAATCAAGCTCAATCTGTTGAAAAAAACCTTTAAGACAACTATGTTCGCATGAGTCTCGAGCCCCAACTTGTTGTTCGTGATACTAGCTTGAAGTGTGTCAATACATTAAAATTGGAGGTGTTAATAGATAACGTTGAGTTGGATTCAGGCCAAACTTGCATAGTGTATTAAATTTCCAGACCAAATTAAAATTGTTTAATTAAAGTTCCAAATATATTGGGAGCACGCTGACCTTTGACTCAACTAAATTACCCGATGTACTGAACTCCATATATTAACAGAATATATAAATATAATATCACCAGCACAGC